ATTACCGCATAACTTTGGACCACGTGCACCGATTTCGATAATTCTTTTTGCATCGGAAAGGCGGTACCTCAAGGGTGACCCCGTACCGATAATTGGATCGTGAAGAAATTAACGATAATCTTAAATTTTATATTAGAATTGAAGTCGGTTTTGTTTTTTGCTAAAAAATCATTATTCGTACCTTTGCCTTTATCCTTTTCTTTATCTGCAATTTCCATTGCACCATTTCCGTTGAATTTGCCAATTTACTCCGAACCACTTTATTCGGTTTACAACCATACAAAAAAAATATAATTTGAGCAATTTTGCAAAATTTGAGTTTTTATAAGAGTTATTGTTAACTTTTTTTTACGAATTCAGTAGTTATTTATTATCCACTGATTCATAGCATGTAGCTTGCATGATATTAGTTAATTAGACCCGCCTTAGCCTTATTGTTTCAATTGTTTGTATAAACAAATGGAAATATTTATTACTTATCGATCAGATTTTTTAATCGTTTACATTGAATAGATTTTGTATCCGTGCCGCGGACTCGCAGCGAACGTGGTGCAACCAGAGAACTGAAAAAAAATTAAATTTCTTTATATACAAAGCATAAATTATTTAATACAATATTTTTTAAATAAAGTTGTATTCATAAATATGTACATACATAATATGCATATTTATATATGAATTCATGTATGTACAATGTACATATGCATGTATTTTGTGTTTACAGAGAAAAATAAGTAAAGAGAATAGTATAATCGTTTGTGCCGCAGAAACAAAAAACAACTAAGAAATTTTTAACACCCCCAAAATAGTTTGCTACTTGTAACAGTTGTGCTGTATACCTGAACTAAATATAATCCTTGATGAAAATGTATTTGTGGATTGTTGTTGAAGGACATATGTACATATGTATGTATGTATGTATATGTAAACAAAGAATAGAGGCCGGTCCACATATCTACAACTTTGGCATTGCGTACACTTTTTTTCAATTCTAAATAAATAGCGCATTTGGAAAAAAATGTGGCTCAGGAAATGTAAAAAAATTCATATTTTTCGGACGGCGCTGGCACGCAATATAAGAACAAATTTAATTTGATCGAGGCACAAAGAAGATTTTGGAGTCAAAGCCGAATGGAATTTTTTTGCCACTTCACATGGTAAAGGTGCATGTGACGGAATCGGTGGTACAGTGAAACGACCTGCTTTTCGGTCGAGTTTACAAAATATATTTATAACTACTCCAAAACTTTTGTATGAATGAAAAGAAGAAGGCCTCATACTCAGCAATATAATAGACTTGGAACTGATGACTAGGACGGCCATTCACTCGACCAACCCAAATACGTTATATCTTTTTTTTTGTCTTTTTTTATACAAAGTTTAAAAAAAAAATACACCTGAAAAATACCTACTTGCTTGCCGCCGCAAGTACTTACCTTCCAAAGTTAACACAGCTGGCGAATGCAAATAAAGATTAAAATTTTAAAATTAATTAATAAAATGAAAATGAAATATGCAGTACAAAATTAATAATAAAATTCTTTTTTTCGCGAAATCTATAAAGGACACTTGTATTAAAAGAAAAAAAAAACTGGGCGACAGTTACAGTACGTGTGTTTGTGAGCGAATTTTTCTAAACGACCGAAACAATTTTAATGAAATTTTGTTATGTGTTTTAGTGGGTCCCTGTATAGTTAGGGTAACAACTTAAAACGCTAGGTGGCGCTGGAGTCGAGTTATTACTAAAAAATCGTATTTATGGTGGATTGTATGTACTGGTAACGTGAAGGGAAATATTTCTGTGAAAAAATTGCCCGCTAGGTGGCTGTGGAGTCAAGTTATCACTAAAAATCGTATTTATGGTCGGATGTGCCTCATAATCGAGATATATATTTGTAACGGTATGGGCAATACTAGTGCAAAAACAAAGCCGCAAGGTGGCGCCGGAGTCGAGTTGCATCTAAAAATCTTCAAGTGAAGTCTTTCGGAGACACTAGAGATCAAAGCCAAATTACCCCCGTAAATCTACCGCCATAACCATTGCTGTCCTTTTTTTACGGCGACAGAATAAAGAGAGTTCTTGTTGAATGCCTACAAATCCGTGGTCATAAGCAATAACCGCCTAAGTCGAAAAACCTGAATTCGAGAAAAAACATTTTAAACATTTGGATTGTAATATTAAGCTTATTGGGAAACCAAAATTTGTTCGTCTATAACTTTTTAGATTGGCTAGCTGGATTTCTGTGGACCTAAGATACTCTCCCATTGTGAAATTAACACCAACTATAAACTTATAATTTTTATTTAGGCGTAACCTTCTTCACTGTCTGCCTTGCACAATATTGTAAGGTACTGTGAGGAATTATTTATATTAAGGTTTCATCATCAATTTAAGTGAAACAACTTTTTTCCCCTTCTGTTAGTTTTCTTGTTTTTTTTTTCGTTGACCGTGTTATATGAATCACTGTAAATCATTTTTAAAATATCTTTTGTAGTTTCGTTGTCAATTGAGCTATAAAAAACGCACCGAAGGCAGCCTTTCTCTTATATGTATTGTTCAAATTTTATACAATTGTTAAAAAACTTGCAAGTGTTATCTGAAGAACACTTGTTTGCTGATTTCAATTCTCCTATAAAAGTACGTCGGCGCAATTGTTTGACTAGCAGTTGTTTTCCGTTTTCAAACTCGAAATCATCAAGTTATAAAAACATGTTGTTCAGGCATTCCTTCGTGTTCCGTAAGTTCTTAGGTCGCGATATATGATTTTCCTACTAACTTGTTGAATTCTAGTTTTTGGAGTTGTGCTATTAATCACTATAGCAATGACTCAAGCCCAGCCTGAAGATCCAGAGGGTGGTGGTGGTTATCGCCCAACTTGGAGACCTACTTGGAGACCTACTTGGAGGCCTACGCGTCCAACTTGGAGGCCAACTAGGCCGTGGTAGGAGACCAAGCTTCTAAGTGTGCTTCACGCAGTATTAACTGCCAATCAAGGCCGCGTACTAGTAAGTAGACTAAATTAAATACTTCATATAATTTGAAAATTCTATACTTATTACTGTCTTCTCCTCTATTTTTAGACTGGTTTATAACCAGGCAAAACTGTTGCGAGAAGCTAAAAATTGGAGAACCTGCCGCCGAATGTAAAGATTAATGAGACACAATGATTGACAGAATGTTAACTGATTGATTTCAAATATGACTATAGTATATATGCAAATATTTAATTTTTCAAGAACTAATTTTCGACCTCAAAAAGTTCAATTCACTTTTATAAAAAATGATATTTCTTCCAATAAAATTATGTGACTTCATATGAAACCTACTTTGTTTTAAATACAAATACAAAAATTATCAGACCGATCATTTAGTAGAAAATTTAGCTATATGGCTAAAAAATGTCATTTACTTGATGTCGAGATCAATTCTATATTGACACTAATGAGGAGGAAATGCCTCCTAACTGTATGCTTTAATATTGACACTGAATTAAATAAACGTGCTAAGCGGCAGTTTTGGAATAAGATTTATGTAGATTAAGATTCATACAAGGAACAAGCTAAAGATGAGTCTGCAGTAGAAGAAAGGAATAAACACTTAATATAATAACAAAGGTGCGCAGTGGGAAAATGTAATGTATACATAAATCGTATAAATAATCAGTAAAACAACCCTTGTAATGCTTTACTACTTTTCCGACTGGGTGGGTGTGAATGTGTAGATGAAGTAAATAATTAAGACAAAGATCAGTATTTAGGTAAAGGAAAAGATAAAAATGAAATTGAAAAGATAAATATAACCCTACACGAAAAGATAAAAGTAAAGGAAACAAGTAATTCTTAAACAAAAATCACCACCGAAAATTTGGGATTGCCGTTAATTTTTTCATGATCAAATAATCGGATCTAAACCAAATTAGTATGGGACCACCTGTGAGACACTACCTTTCTGATAAAATTTTGGAAATCGGTTAATGTTGTCCAAAGTTGTGCGATAACATATATTAAAAAAAATAAAATAAAAAATATTCCGACGAGTGATAACCTTCTGCTTTTTTGGCAGTCGGAGGATTTTACGTGTAATTCTAAGCAAATTTGTCGAAGAAACCAGGGATCTAAAATCAAATTGGAGTTTGCCAAACTGCGAAAATAAGTTTCGAAGAAAATTTGAAAATCTTCTCTCTGGTGGGAGTTTTAAGAAAAAAGGTAAGCGCATGGTTTTATACAAAACTTAAGCACTTCCTTTCTACACTACAGCATATCTATTTATATTAGAGTAGTTAAGCAAATTTTTTTGTTTGGAAATTCATAAACGCTACCTCAAATTATTGTTATTTGTGATAAACGCAGAGAAACATGTTTTTTTAATTAAAAAAAAAAGTTTTCTTAGAGGTCGCGCTGGTCTGATATTATTGGGGAACATTCCCTTTATTACACACCTGTCTTGGACAGTTAGAATGGGCCTAGTTCCCGAAAATATGCTCTCGAAAAGACCTTAGTAAAATTAGCACGTTGATACTGAACGATTTACGCCTTGCCATGGCTTAGAACTTGTTACCAGGGGATTTCTGGAGTTGCTAATTAGGAATCTGAAGTCAATTTTTCAAAATTCAAAATGGTGACCAAATTAAAAAAAATGCTTGGATTTGTTTGAAAAATAAATAAAATACGTGTCTCTTTTTTTATCACAAATAACAATATTCTAATGAACCCGATCTTAGGACAAACTAGTTTTGCCTAGGCTAAACTAGATAAGGGGCCACAGAATTTTTTTCGCAGAATACCTTGAAAAAATAACCCTCATCAGTCCAACTCCAGGTACGCAGTCCTAAATATTATTGCGTCCGACTTGTTTCCACATTGGACGGATATATTGGATCTAGGTAGAACTAGTTTAGCCTAGGAAAAACTAGTTGGCCCTAAGATCGGGTTTGGCCGGTGACATATATAACACGCGAAGGGATTTTTTGTTCAGGATAATAGATCTGCACCGTTCGACCGATTTTCAAAAGTGAGATGTCATATTAAAGCTCTTGGACTGTAGATGTGCAAACTAGTTTTAGTTTTTGAAAATAGTTGCCACTTGTTAAAAAATTAAATTCATCAAATCCGCACCGTTCGTTCCTAAATGAGACGTCAAATTAACAACCTTGGCCTGTAGATGTGCAATAAGGGATTACTTTTTAGAAAAGAGCTGCCACCTTTAAAAAATTTTATTCAAATTATTTAAAAAAATAAATCAAATGTTACACACTGGATATCAATCGAAATGGTTTTGAAAAGCCTTGTTTCTTACAATATGCATAAATGAAAATACTAGAATCATTATCACTGCACAGGACTCTGCTGGGTATTGGACCAAACCATTTTTTTAAGAGACTGAGTCATAGGTAAAAAAATAATTTCTCCGTTTTTCGATGTTAGCCTCCGAAATCGAGACATGGGCCTTCGAAGTTCGAAATAGGATCTTTGGTAAACAAATTATTTTTTATTGTTATATGTAAATAAGTACAAAAACAGTCGTAGACCGCCTCTTGCTCTTATTTAAATGGTTTATAACTTTTTTTTTGCAAACTTATATTACATATCGTCCCGTTTCTGCCTTAACCTCGTATCTACAATAGAGGTATTTTAGAGAGTGTAAGAAAAAATGCTTAATCTCTTCCCCTAGGATACAATAAACGCATTTTTTACTTAATATTTCTGGTTCAACTAACAGTAGTGAGTACCCTCATTAAATCTTTGTTCTATTTTCAGATAGTGTGACGCTTAAACAGCTGTTATAAGTGGTAATATTAGTTTCCCCAAAAATTGTAAATACGTGGTTAAGGCAGAAACGGGACGATATGCTATAACGGGTCAAAGGTCAGATCTTCGAAAAATTAAAAACCTTATATTTCAAACTATTTTGAACTAATTTTTAAAAAGTTAGTATCGTTGTAAACGTGATTAGACCCCCTTCTTTTTTTCTGCTATAGATATTTGTATACTTTGTATGTAAAAATTTTAGAAAAAACATTTAAAAGGAAAAAATACCCTTTTCATATATAACAATATTTTAAACAAACACATTACTAACCGATTTAAAAAAAATGTATCGTGTTGTTAACGCAATCAAATCTTCTTTCTTCCGATATGCGCATTTGTATACTTAATATATAAAGATTTTAGAAAAAACACTTAAAAGAAAAAAATACATTTTTTTATAAAAAAAAATAAATAAATCAACAAAGAAATTACTAACCGATTTTAAGAATTTGGTATCGTTGTAAAAGATTGTATACTTCGGGTATAAAAATTTAAGAAAAAACACTTGAAAGCAAAAAATACCTTTTTTTATAAAGATAAATATTTTAAACAAAAAAATACTAACCGATTTTAAAAAATTGTTATCCTTGTAAAGGCCACAAAATTATACTTTCTTAAACCCCAAAAATTTCGTTTTATATACACAAAAAAAATATAATTAAAAACATTTTTTCCCAGTCCTTTCCCACTCCTGCTATCTAGATGAAAGACTGGCTACGCCCTTGTATACAAAACGATTAAAGTATTTAAACCCTAGGTATATCATACGGTCAGTTTTTTCTTTTTGAGCGCATATATGGTTCCATAGTAATGATTCCAATATCTTTATTTATGTATATTGTAACTATCAACATCTTATTAAGAGAAGTGTAAAATTTTTGTATCTAAAACTAATAAAGTTAGAAGGACGAAATTCGAGGATGTGGTAGTTAACATATTAGTCCTTGACATATATTTTTTTCAAAAATAAATATTTGAAATTTCCAAGGATGTTCAAGAATAAAGTTTTAAAAGGACATTTTCAATACTTATTCGTCCTGGTGCACCCACAAATTAAATTTTTTTCTATTCTACAGAATTTTTACTTTTAATTGATACCAATATTATTATTCTACAATGTACCGAATCTTTTGACAATTTTTTTATTCAATCTTATTATAAAAAATTTAAAGTCCTTTAAAAAAAAATTCGTCAGAGAGAAAAACTAAAAACGCAGTTTTACTATACTTGGCCCTCAGTTTTGTGAATATATTGATTTTTTCGTGTGTAAAATTGACTGTCGCACGGTGTATTAATTGAAGTCGCTACTTTAAAGCCTTTGTACACTTATTAAAAAACATTTGCACATAATGGCCCTATTAATCAGAAATAAAGTACGTTTAAAGAGCCTAATAAAATTACATTTTCATACATTTTTCAATGCATTAAGCTTTTTTAAAGCTACATAATTTTTTATGGATAAGGCAATAGATATTTAATTTGTATCACTGTTATCAAACTTTCTTTTCTCTTGAATAGAAAAACCGAGCACACAAGCACCTTATACAAACGACAATTTAAGTACATACATATGGGTATTTCCTGGGTTACGGACGCGACATTCGTACGACTTTAGAGTTAAATAAATCATACGAAAACTGAAGTCACTTGTAAAAAAAATTTGCTGTTGTGTAGCTTTTATACCGTCCTTTGGTTGACAAAAAACTAGGTGCACTTGGAACACTGAAGTCGAGAAAATCGATGAAAGTAGGGCATAACGGACGCGACAAAAACAGAAGTGATTTCAGAGTACATGTTAAAACTAAGCAAAACTCAGCAATCGTGTAAGGTTTTCCTTTATTAAACACTCTTTAAATAAAGTCTAATTATGGACCGTCACAACCAATTCATTTTTAATCAGAATTTCCGCCCATACAATATTTTTACTAGT